AATCTCCACGCATCACTACTGACCAGGGTCATTAAGATTCATTTCAGTCTCTAGCCCTCTGTCCGAAATTAAAGCCATAAATACAGCAATGGAATTTTTTGCATGGCTAGAGTTCTTTTTATCGTGGTGAGGAAAAAAGCATGACACAAAATTTATCATCTTAACCATTTCTAAGTGTACAGTTAAGTAGTGTTAAATACATTTATACAGTGCCGTGCAACCAACCCCCAGAACTTTTCATCTTGCAAAACCGAAACTGTATACCCCTTAAACAATTTCTCATTTCCTCCTCCCCCAACCTCTGGCAACTACCATTCTGCTTTCTTTTCCTATGAATCTTACTATTCTAAATATCTCAAGTAAGTGAAATTGTACAGGACTTGTCTTTTTTGACTGGCTTATTTCACTTGGCATGATGTTCTAAAGGTTCGTCCATGTCGACGCACATGTTAGAGTCAGCTACAGTGTTTTAGCACACAAATGTCCCACACTAGACATAATCTTCCTTATTTTTGGTTGATAGAAGAGCCGCAATTAATTGCATTTTCAATTAAGAATAAATTCCTTCGGTCTTTTTAAAATATACTTTTAAATTGACAGATAACATTATATGTTTTTGTCATGTACAACATGATGTTTTGAAGTATATGTACATTGTGGAATGGTTAAATCTAGCCAACCAACAAACGCATTACTTCACATTTATCATTTTTGGGTGATAGCACAAAGCATCACTCTCTCTTTACATTAAAAATCCTGAACTGGCAGTTGAGAAGCCACCACATATATACCGGCAGATGGCGCTGTAATGATGGGCATGGTTATTTAGATAATTTACTATAAAATGATTTGATAATGGCCTTCAATAGGAAGTTGTATTAGTCATAGATTATAGTAGCAATACAAATTATTCACAAAATATCTGCTATGATTTTTGGTTTGGAATATGGGATTTTCCATTCTGGTTAAGACTTTCCCCATCCCTTTCTACCCTCTTACGTCAAAGCTATAATTTTACACTTATTGGGGTGATGTATTTTTTCATAATGTGTGAATCCCCCACCGGACTCTCTGACTTTACAGAAATCACATCTGTTTGCTCTATACTGTATCTCCATTTAGTGCATGAATGGATATGTTTATCATTTATTGTGAAGTGTATCTTTCATTTTTACAGAATCTTAGAAATACATAAATTTTAAAATTGTACTTATCTTAATCCATTCTATGTATAATAGAAATTTAGAAATTCATAACCTCTAAAACCAAACAGAAAAGGCAAAACAAATATCTTATATAGACCACTAGTTTGTTAGCTTCTTCCTAAGCAAGAGAGACCACATTTTTTCATCTTCCTAACCAGTTTCTAAATCTCCAAACCATCTTCAACACTTCCTTAGTTCTCATTTTCTATATCCCATCTGTTACCAAATCCTCTAAATTTATCGTCCACAATGATTTTTGATACCCCGATCCTCCCCTCCACTTTTAAATGACAATATTCTATCTCAAGCCTTCATTAACTGTTGCTTGGCAACCCCTGTAGCCTCCTAACGGATTTCCTTCTCTCCAAATTCCAAGCCAATCCTTATACTTTGCCTAACTGGTTATCCTGAGATACCAATCTTATCGTATATGTCTGAAGCTCAAGAACATTCAATGGCTCCCTGCTAAATTCAGAATTAAGTCCAGACAACATACTCTGGCAGTACTGACATGCAAAGACCAATTTCTGTAGCCTGACAACTTTTCATCACCATCTGTTAATTACATGGCCCAGTTCAAATACTGTATTTGTAGATTTCCTAAGTCAAAATGAATTACTCAATGTTTATCATAGTCACCTGTACTTCTCTTTTAAAAGCATAGGCTATGATGTTTTAAATATATTTATGAAAACACATAACAACCCATGCAAAATCTGAAAATACGATAAGGGAGAAAACGATTAATGTCGTTATTAATCTTTTCACATATCATCAATTGAGATTCCTTAATGCCTAAGAGTGATGTTACACTGCTGTGAAATG